GGCACTTTGCTTTTTGGTCCACTCTCACCACTCTTATGAACCACATTTAGGGAATACATTTCATTTATTGCGACAATATTGTAGGATGGACACAATCCTATTTTGACTGAATACTCATTAGTAATGTGGATATGAATAACAAACTGAGTAAAGGCAAAGTTCAGAAAAAGACAACAATTACCTGAAATGCAGCGTTAAAACAAAGAATAGTCAACACATTTGCCATTTATTAAGATTACAATACCAAATGGTATCTAGTCTCATTATGGATAGAATACTTTACAGCTAAGAAAGAGTGAAATTCTCTGTTGTTTTATTTTGAGCAGGATTTGTAAAGCTCTGGCTCGCTGTTACAAAAGTGGATGAGATTCAATTTAGAACAAATAAATGGTGTTTGTCGTTAGTCATTTAAAAGCCGTAGCTTGTTAGAGACGTGCACGAAGGTTGTATAAATATATTTTTTCTTTGGAAAAGCTATGTATCTGCTGCTCTGACAGCAGAACGCAGCTTGCCTGGAACACTTTCATGGTCTTAAACAGCTTGTGTAGCTTCTCAGCACTTTGGCATCGATGGCTGCTCATCTGTATTGATCTTGGCTGAAGGTGTTTGTCACCTGTTCAAATATACAGGGATCCTGATATTTGTTTTGTTTACTCTGTGTGTGTGTGTGTGTGTGTGTGAATCCATCTGGGTGACTGTTCAGGGTTTACACGCATTAATGGGAGTTGTTACAGTTTTACCAGAAAACTCTGCTCCTGTTAGCTGAAGATGTCGGTTAGGATGGGAAGATCTAGGTTCGCTATCCTCTGCAAATGAACAGACAATTATACTTATTTTTTAGATTTGAACTGGTTTACTCTCATCTTTCTGTGAAATGTATACTGTAGCAACTGTGAAGATTTAGAACATACAGTATGGTGTGCGAAAATAGGTTTGAGTCATATTTTCACCAGAGAAAACACCCTCAACAAAGTCAACAGTTTTAAAGTCATACCTTAATACAATGATGCTTAACTTTGCCTTTTAGATAGGGTGCTGAGTGGCCTGCCAATCAATCTCCTAATGCACATTGCAAAGTAATTGATTAAAAAAATATATGTCTGTACTTTAATTGAAATAAGGGGCCAGAGTGCATTACAAAAAACATTAAAAAAGACTTATTGAGATTTTTTATCAAAGTATTAAGGGAGGAAAGAGTCTGGGAAGACAACTATTAAGAGCAGAAGATAGAGACCAATTATGATCATTCCAATCCCATAAATGTGTATTTGCCATGAAAAGAGCTTAACTATGCAATCTATTCGGTCCCTGGTTTGGGCCGTTTATGCTTAATAAATAATCATTAATTCCAGCTATGTTTAAGGTTTTTTAAGCTCTTTCAAAAGTTACCCAACTAGATCTAAAATGCCGTTACAGTTATTAAATGCAGTAATTAATTTGTCCGATATAAGTCATATCATTTTAAATGTAATAATTTCAAAGAAAGATAAGTTATGGGACTTTATTGTTTATATATATTTAAAAGTGGCACCCATGTACAGCAAGTTTGGTATCCCTGTCTTTAAACCTTTACCAGTGAACCAGGTGAGCATTAAATCCCCTCCCTCCTGCTTCCTCTAATGTCTGCGGAGCTGAGAGGACACGGTCCGAGGACACGCTCACTGCCCAGTCATCCAGAGCTGTCATTATAGCCTAAACCTCTACCTGAGGCTTTAATCCTCCTATCAGACCGGACCTGGACTTCCCCCAATAGCACATCTCGCAACTCTGGCAGAAAGTGCCTTTGGACATCTGCAAATCTTGCCTGGCCCCGCTGCAATGCATTACAGGGAGGCAACCACGCACATTTTTAGACCTTAAGCCGATAAAGGTTTTTGTCTTATTAGATCTGCAGCACCTTGAAGAAGTTTAGGTTCCTCATTTCCATAGTTTTCGCTTTCTAGGGAACTGACTTTATACTACAGCAGAGACACAGGCTGGTTATAAAGTTAAAATCTTCCCAAGGTTTCCTAGTTTCTATTTATGTGACTGCTTCCTTAGGCTTTTTATTGTGTGTCAAACCATTCACAATTATTTAAAAAAAAGCTTGCACATGTGACTTTTATGGACGTATTTTAAGTAGTACAAAATAGTGTTGTTTCCTAATTGATGTTTTGCTCATATTTTGTTCAGAAACTACCCATTTGACTTCAGATGTGAGTTTCACCTCTCAGATTAATTACCACTTATCTTAGCATTGTTGCGGCTTCCTTAGGCCTTTCTTTTCACATCTAGTATTACTTTAAAATTAGCGTTAAAGAATCAGGGTCATAAGAGTGTAAAATCTAACCAAGTATCATTATTTTTAGTGTATGGAAAAATATTCTTGTAGGCTGCTCCGACACCCGGCTGGGATGCTCCTGTGTGTTTACAGAGATCTCGGGGCTTGTAGGGCACTGCAGTGACGTGGTATGAAATAAAGATAGAATGCTTAAGCCTGCAGCAGAAACAGGGTTTCTTTCAACAAATAAATAAATCATCTCTAAGACAGCAGTGGTTATATTGTTTTACATAATGTATAAGATAAGCCATACAGTGTTGCCAGACTTTACTCGCCAAAGTCTGAATGAATATTAAAAAGGTCCCGCTCAGGGGTGTTGTGAGGCATCACAGGTTCAAAAGAAAACGATAAGTCTGTGTGCTTCAAAAAGTCTCAATCAGAGTTAGAGAAAATGTGCAGTATACGGAGAATACCCACAATGACCTATAACATAACCCTGACTTGTAAATGTGCAGACTTGCTTTACAGTATGTGATGTTTTAAACCAATGTCATTTATCAAACCTGACTCCAGCACAACATTATTAAAGTAAATAAAGAATAAATAAATTGAATAAATGAAAATGCTTGCAGATTATTTAATCGGCAGCTCTAAATTGACCGTAGGTGTGAGCATGAATGGTTTTATGGAAATAACTGCTTTCATTTTCTGTATATGCAGGGCATTTCTGTATTTGGCTAGGGTTTTTGTATCTGGTCGTGTTTTCTGTATTTGCTTTGGGTTCATCACGGTGGATATTTTCTGTCAAAATGGGGTATGAACTCCATTTGCAGATGTTTTATTATGTTGCAATGCATTGAGCTCTTAAGGCCATGATACCTGTCCATTGTGAGATTTTCAAAGATTATCATCTTCTTCAAAACACCAACATACAACAGTCCTCATTCACTGAGGGTCTTGTGGAAAGTCCTTTGCTCAGATGCATTAGCAGGTTTGCAGATTTACATTAGTGTGACGTGACTCAACCTTCACCTCCTACTCAAAGCTCTGTAGACTTGAACAAAGAACTTCATTAAAATTACTTTTCACAATGAATATGGAGATTAATACATTAGAATTTATCTTGAGCAAAAGTTCTCAACTAACTGTTTGTCCTTCATGCAGAAATGGCACTTTTAGAAGTACAAATAAGTAGATCAAATTAACTTTCATCACTTTTTGTTCAATGTCTCAAATGTCTTTGTGGGTAATTGTTGTATCCACCAACACACTTCCATCTAATATCTGCATAGTTATCAGTGTCGAGCCTGCGGGGGGCACATTGCATCATTTCAAACCTCATTTAACACCGAACCATGCCCCTTTCTGAAGCCTAAATCGCTCGCCATGGAGCAGCAGAGTGGCTCCAGACATTCATTAGCTTAATGAAAACAGGCCACTCTTCTTCTACCGCCCAGTGCGCGTTCTCGACTTAGCTGCAGCGACCATCTGCTCTCAAGCTCCCTGTCAGCTATAGGATAGTCCTGTCAAAGCAACCCCTGTGAAGAAAGGCGTCCACGTAGGTGCCTTAATCATTCAGATCAGAGGACAGCCAAGGACAGTAGGGACTCTTCTTTCTCTTTTTTTAGAAGATGCTCTCATCTCCGCGTCCCCAGGCGGCTCCCTAACCTGAGATGTAGCGCTCACTCTTGATGTTAATGATGTTCATGAAATGAGCTGAGTGTGCAGTTGTCGGAGTTGTCTTGCAGCAGCCACACAGCTGGCACTAAAGTTATTATCCAGCCAGCCACAGTGGGAGAAGCCGCTTCGTGAAAAGGTTAATATCATTTTAGGGTTGGCCAGTGTGTTGTGGTGGGCGGCTGACCACCTGTTCAGCCTGGGAGGTGGGCTCTTATCATCTCATCTAGAAGCTAACATTTGAAGGTCAAACCATTCATAATAATACAAAAAAAAGAGTGTGTGAGCTGGTACATGTAACTTTTATGGCCGTATTTTAAGTAATATCGTGTTGCTTAATTGATCTTTTGCTCGTATTTTGTTCAGAAACTACCCATTTGACTTCAGATGTGAGTCTTATCTCTCAGATTAATTACCGCTAATCTTAGCATTGTTGCGGCTTCAACCACCCAGAGCTACCGCTCTCAATGTGAACACTAGCTGGGGCACAGCGAGAGGGGAATGATAGTCAGAGCCCCGAGGCCTGAATCTGATCGTTTGTCATCTGGATAGTATTACTTAATTTCCCATTGGGAAGAAACTCATTATTACTGACTTTATCTCAGCACTGACCTCTGGAACAGTCTCAGGAATGTTATTGGTTTGAGCCCATGTTTCCTTTTCTCGTTTTCTCTGCACGACATAGATGACCCTAAACACTTATAAAATACATGACTAGCCAGGGCACAGTTCAAGCAAATGGGTGGGTGCATACGAGTCCCACTCCCATTTAATGTGCTACACACAGAGCACATTTATATTGATTTATCATAGGCTACAGATTTTTCTCGCATGATAAATGGCGACTGGAATGGGAGATTATATTGATAAAAGTTGAGTAATGGTCATGCAGCCGACATCTTTTATGGTTAACCTTTTCACGAATGTATTAAATTCATTTAGCTTCCAACACATAAAGACTGTCTTCAGAAAAACATGTCTTTTCCATTTTGTCGTCTTCCTATACATAATGTTGGAAGCGTTGAGAAGGCGTCTGATTGCTTTTTTTCCTCCTGTGTCACAGTTTAATTTTGTCGGAAAGTTGCTGGGACCACGGGGAAATTCCATGAAACGACTACAGGAGGAGACGGGAGTCAAGATGTCAATCCTCGGCAAAGGGTCCATGAGGGATAAAGGCAAGGTAAGATATCGATTTGTGTTGAAATATAGTTGTTGGGCTGGTTCGAGATATCAAGAGTAAATATTTACAGAAACGAAGCACTTGAAATTCTACCAAAGCCCAGAAGAATATTCTAACCCACAACATCTGAGCTGTAACTGAGATGAATAACACCCAGAGTAGAATTAATAGCTTTCAGTTGACAAACATATGTAGAAGAAAATGTGAATGCTTTTCTGTATGGTGTTTAATAGCATATTCTGTAATAGTCAATTATGAATGCGGAGTAATGAATCTTTTTGCCAAAGTCATTTATCCTGCTGACTGGTGTTCCCCTGGAGCCAAAGTTATCCGAGCGTGTACACAGACAGCGTGCTGTATCTGGTGTTCACGCTTTTAACAGATCTGTGTGCCGCTATAGAGTTACAATGCTATTATTACTGTAGCCTCAGATACAGACATTTAGACATGACAAAAGACTTGCAGTGTTGCCACCTCTTTGGTGAAACTGGAGCTGCATTTTATAGCATCAAGAAAATGTTTAAAGTGGCTCTTTTACAATAAATGTCGATCAAATGTAGAAAATATTGGTGACGTTAAAATGCAAAGATTTGTAGCTACAGTATGTATATTTTAAAAATCTAGCAACCTTGAGCTTCACATAACTTTATAGTCAGTTTCAGCTCATTGTTTCACTGTCTCAGCATCCTTTTGGCCACGGCAGGCAGAGTTTTTTTTTAGTTTAGAACAAAAGGTCTTAAAGCTCACAAACTATACTACCTGCTGAGCATCAAACAGCAGACTGACACAGTAAGTGCCTAGCTGGTGAACATATTGAGGCATTTAGCAGTTAAGGAGTCAGACATTTCCCTCAAGAGATGGTAGAGAGCAAAAACAGAGCTAAAAGAGAAAGAATATTGGACCTACATTTGCCAGGTAGAGAGAAAGATTACTCACAATGAAAGCTAATGTTGCTGTTGACATACAACTTATTTCAGCTTGGTCATTTGTACATATTAAATGCAGTTTAGTTGAGAAAATATCATCTTTGCTTTAAGGTGGGGTAGGTAATTTTGGAGAAACCAGCTCGAGTGCGCTAGAATTTGAAAATACACAGCCGGAAAAAATCTGCCACTTCCTTACAGAGCCCCTCCTCCAACACACACAAACGCGCACATGACCAATGAGGGCACGAGATAAGTGTGTGCACAGATGGAAGGCTGACAGGCAGGTAGGCCATCCAGTTATTTTAGCCGGGCCGGCTAAAATGATTGGTCGTGCTTTTTACAGTACTACGGCTTCCACAGATGACATTTTTTTATGGATTTTTTGTCAAAGCACTTAAGATATTCATTGCTATCGGGATGTTAAGAGCATTCCATGGAATATAACAAAAAGTGTATCTCGAGCCGGTTTCTCCAACTTACCTACCCTACCTTTAAGGTGGATTTATTTGCTATTCTGGGGCTTTCAACCATATCAATGATCTTAATCAGAATTCAGAGTTGGCTTAGTTGTCATGTACTTAATAGTAAGAGCTATACAACTGGAGCTGTAGATGTGTTTTCAGGTATTCTGAATTTCACATGATGTTCTTAAGCAGAAAGAGTTGAGTCCAGTTTTGATGGACTTGTTGTAATAAAATCACAGCAGTGTATTGATATAATTGCTATATACTGTAGTTATACATATTTTACAGCATCAGGTTATGATTTAATTATATGTGCCTGTAAAAGTGGACATGTTAACCATGTAATCTTCCGGATGACTAAGCTTTTGTATCATTCAACAAATGGATGGCTTTGTAATTAGAAAGTATGGGTAATACGTTTTTGCATCAATTGTCTCTCAGTCCGAGTAAGTGCAATGAAACGTTTCTTTACCATCACATATGAATGGGCCTTGGCCGGTGCAAGAGTTCATTTAAAACTTTGGCATCCTGCCACTAAGTCTATTCAGTTCACTCGTGTGCCGCATTGTCTGCAGTGTGATAAATGAAGGAAAGAGGTGCATTATACGCTAAACAATGGTTTACATGCATGCATCAATAAAGATGTGATTCTGCACTACACAGCACATCATGCAAAATGACTTTTTATAATTTATTATATCCATGATTTATATTTATTGAAGGTTTATTTGATATGGTGAAATACAATAAACACGGACATTTAGTATCAGAGAGTGTTTGCGATGGATGCTGTTTTTGAAACTATTAGAACAGTGAGGTAACAAGAAGGTTAGTTCAATGCACCAACGTATATATACAAAATATTACATTAAAAAGCAAGAAAAGAGTACAGTATTGTTGCTGGAACAGGTTTTGGTAAGTGTATTAAAGTAGTGAAGTTTGCAGCAAACTACAAAAGATCAGGTAGCAAGTTACAGGTTCCAGAAAAGAGTTGTGAGTCATTACTCAGTGCCAGTATGAGTAACATGGCGTACTGCTTGTTTCACCTGGAGATTCAGTCTGAGTCAGATTCACGGAGCTTTGTGCAGCACAAAGGAAAATAATAGACCCCAAACAGTCTCTTACTGGTCAGCTTTGTAACGATCTGCCTTAGCTCGGTGTTTCCTGTGTGCCATATCGATTTTGTGTACAGTCTGGGCAAGTCTGAAGGACTCTGTGATGAGACTGACACCTAAAGGTCGTGACTGAACGTCTGCCTGTCACTCCAGGCAGCTGGTCACAGTGTGGGACAGACACAGCAAAAGTCTCACAACAAGCAAAAGTTGTCATCACACATCTCTGCCATCTCATCCTGTTCGTCAGTTGGGCGCATCCGTCTAGCCGTAGGGTATTGTCTCATGTTGGGACATTTCGCATCAGAACAGCCCACCAACACATAATGGACCATATGGTCAATATAACACCTTGTGCACTACATTGGTTAATATGGTGTGTGTAGAGGCTGAGAGTCCTCTTAGAACACCGCTGCAAGCAAACACTGCAAGGTCAGAGAGATTCTTCAGTTCCTTATATAAGTGCAAACATAAAGTATTGATGGGTTTAATACAGGCATATTGCAGTCATGGTTACTGATGTATATCTCAGTGTGCTGCCCTGTCTGTAAAAGTCTCCAGAACATTCCAGTGACAAACTATTGAAACAACTTGGGGACACGATCATCCGCCCACATGCATGTTTTGATCTGATCCATGATGACTTAAGCTCTCTGACAGTGAATGGGAAGCCTGATGAAATTGTAGGAGTGATTTTTAATTAAAGCTGATTTCTCCTCTAGGGTAGATAACAGCCCTCTGATGCAAGGACAAAAGTTTGAATCCCCAGATTGGCTTGGTGAGTGGCTCTCTAGCTTCTCTTAACAGCCACCATCAAGGTGTCCTTGAGCTAAACACTCAACACCCAATTGTTGCAGTGCAGTACGAATACACAAAGGTTCCAACAAAATGTATTTTGGCATTATGAATAATCCCTAAATTGTTAATTAAGTAGCAGCGGCTTTTGCAACTAATACAAGATGACAAAACGTACCCACAAGGTCTGACATCACTTCCTATTATTTGCACAACAAAAAGTTCATGATTCAACTGGTCTCTTTAAAACATAGTAAGGACTGGCCCCGAGCTATATAACAGATCCTTTAGGCCGTTAAAGTTAGTGTGAGCCTCAGGCAGGGGCCCCTTGGGGACTCCGTTAAGACTAAGACTGAATCACGATTGGGCTTTTCTTGCCATCAGACTTTTGAACAGTTTGCATTAGGAGCATGGATTGACATCTTTCCTCACTTCAGTGCTTTCTGGTAGACTTTCTTTAAATCAAAGCCCCCTATCCAAATTGAACACCTCTCTGCATTCCTAATTTATTTCTCCCTGCCCCTACCTCATTTATCCTGTGGAACTCTTTTGTTTTAAGGATTTATTTAACTGATAGTGTGGAGTTGAAGTGAACACACAGAAGGGGCTAGAATTAGCATGAGGCATTTAACCAGCCAGATATACATTGAAACACAGGACATTTTCTTTTGTTTTAATTTGATCATTTTGATGAAATATCTTAGTTTTGTTTAACGCCATTCACAGTGACAAAATGGAATTACTGATAAGAGAAAGAGGCCAGTGTTCTTGTCAATGTAAAGGGAGTAATCTGACAATAATGTAGAGACAGAAATCCCATGGCACCTACTGTTTGTCTTCGTCATGGAGGTGCCCGCATCATTTCCCTGATGTGTGTGTGTGTGTGTGTGTGTGTGTGTGTGTGTGTGTGTGTGTGTGTGTGTGTGTGTGTGTGTGTGTGTGTGTGTGTGTGTGCTGTTTTATTGATCACACGTGTCATGCCTCACCTGTCCACCAGGCATCCCCTGTGTGTTGTACTCGCTGGCACACCTGTCCTTCATCTGCTAATCAGTCTGCTGCCTCCCCAGCTGCACCTCGTTTCCTCGTTACCTCGTTAATCTTTCTTTTTGCCTTGCTGTCTGAAAATGAAATGCCCAAAGATAATCAGCCTGCTCATGATGTGATGTTCCTTCCTAAACTGTAACTGTATATATGCTTTTTCAGAGGGAATTATTTCTGTCTTGTTCCTTGATTTTTTCCCCCACATCCACTTGGTCACAAATTCATCATTTACTGTCCATCACGATGACATGAACTATATGCCATGTCTCAGGCACAGGATGTCAATCCATTTAAACATTTCCCCGAGCTGTTTTGGAGCCGAGCCTGCAGAGCTTTCTTGACAAAGAATCACCAAATGCAATTTCTAGAAGAAAAAAAAAACACATTCCCTAACAGCATCCCTAGTGCCAAATATGTGACTGAGCTGTACTATTTCTCCGTTATTCTTGTCAGGTTATTTTAGTGTAGTTGTCAGATGAGCAGTAATTATTCTTTGGAAGTAGACATATTCCTTACACAAGTGAAGAAAAGGCCACATATCATTCAGAGATGTTTTTGTGTGGGTACTACAGTGATGAATGTAGTGATTTCTCAAGTGTCTCCTTGACTTGAAACTAAATCAAAAGTTACTGTTGGTTAAAGCATGTCTGTCTAATACATGTTTGTAATGAAAGGAGGAAAAAGAGGTTGTGTTGTGTCTCATAGCAAAACATCTTTATTTTCAAAATGATTGTACAGCAGGAATATTTTGTGGCTCAATACAAATGTTTAACCAGGCTAGCAAGTTTTTGGCCCGACCAATTTTGAAATATCTTAACAATTGAATGGATTGCCATGAACTGTGTAAACAATCTGGTAACTGGTGAAGTATCCAATTGACTTTGCACTCGTCCCAAGTCAAGTCTCAAGTAAAGTCAGGCTAGGCCTAATTCCTAAACTTTGAATTTCAAGCCCAAAACAAGTCATAATGCACTCCTATTTCGAGTCTATAGTAATTAAAAAACATGAGAAAATATGTGTTATCCATCATATATTTAGTTGTTGTTGTACACACATACTGGAAGATATAATCAACAGTTCATAATGATTCATCAGCATAGACTACTTGCTTTGTTTTATTCAATATGCAGTACAATATAAAAAACTGATTCCAAAATCCAAATGGTGTGCAATATTGTAATTACTACCACTAACCCAAACAACCTCGAAATGCATATTGGGTTTCTATTTTATCTGTACACATATTTGACTTGCTTTTTTGTTTTTTCACAGGAAGAAGAATTAAGGAAAAGCGGGGAGGCCAAATACGCCCATCTGAGTAATGATCTACACGTTTTAATTGAAGTCTTTGCTCCACCTGGAGAGGCCTATTCGCGCATGAGTCACGCCTTGGAGGAGATAAAGAAATTCCTAGTTCCAGTAAGTGTAATACTTCACCTTATTTCCCCCTCCTATTTTTCATTAGTGTGCAGTATATGAACATCAGTTATTACTGCTGACATGATTGTTTCTCCAAGAGTTTACAGTATGCAGGGTTTATTATTATAAGGGTTCGATAAGCACTTTCTCCGCTTTACAGCCACTTCCCTACACTTCATGCCCTTACTTACAAATGAAAACTAATGTATTCAGCAATTAATGTGCAGTATGAAAATACTTGCAAGACTCTGGCAACGTATAGCCCGGAGAACTGAGCAATAATTAATGTGCATGTTGTGTACTCTTGCTGAGTCTAAGCTGCAAATATTAATCAAGCTTTGCCAATGTGACAAGCCTTATAGAGGAGTTGTGCTGCATGAGTCTACTTGTTGTTTCTTCCTATTCCGAAACCTTGCTCTTACAAGCATTTCTGCTCGCCGGGCCAGTAGGATGATGCTGCATCTTCATTGTACAGCTAATACCCTTCCTAGTACAAATTACAGTCTGCAGAAAAAAGCAAGTATAGCTACAGTATAAAGCTGCTCCTGATGTTTCTGTGTTAGACTTTCAGAGAAAATACTACATGTAAAAACTAGACATATCTTGGGTTCAGACAGGGACTTTGGTCTGGTACCTGAAGGTTGCCGGTTAAATTCCCGGATCAGTCCAAGACCAGACTGACACTTTTAAGAGGTGCCGTTTCACCAACTGGGCACACTGCTTAATGCTAAACTTCACCTTGAATGTGGTGCATGCATTTCCTTTCTTAAAGGGGACCTATCATGCAAAATGCACTTTTTGATGTATTTTATATATAAATATGTGTCCCCGGTGTGCCAGGGAACTCACCAAGTGTCAGAAAACAAAACCCTCTCTCTTTTCCTCCGTACCCAAATCTCTAAAAACGGGAGTACTGTACAACGGAGCTCATCCAGATTTGCGTCCGATATGACGTAATATCAGAAATGTGGACCCACGGCACTATCAGAAACGTTGCTATCAGAAACTATACCCGACGTGTTTTGGAGGTTATATGGTCTTTGTTTACATTAGCAAGCATCGCCAACACTCAGAGCTAACCTGTACTGGAGAGAGTATGTGTAAAAAAGCAGGAAATAAAAAGGAACTCACCTTGTGGTAAACCCACAAGAGAGAAAGCATTTGAGCTCCATACTGTTTCAGAAATAATGCTTGATGTGGTTTGGAACATGATATGGCATTTAATCACGGCAGCATTTAGCTGAGAGTCTCGTAGAATTCTGAGCAGGCACAAGCTAAGGACCCCAAACCTGCAGTTCTCTAACAGGCCTGAAATAGAGAGATATGAGGGATATCTAAAATGCATGATCTGTTTGGTATTTTGAGCAAAACACATCATAGACATGTTTTTTATATATTTGTATATATCTGAGACCCATAATATATGCCTAAAAATAGCATAATTGGAGACCTTTAAGACTTTAAGATTTCAAAGAATTGTGTATATTTCATAGGAGGTCTTGTTAAACATATTTAATGTACCTTTCGATGTCTTCATGTCCCTCCTAACAGCTGCTCATGAGCCTCTTTGACTGGATGTGCAAACAGTTGTGATGAGAAGTCGGGCCTTAAAAACAGAACTGGCCCCTGCTGAAAAATTAGTTATGCATTCAGAGCACATTTCGGAACCGTTACTGTGCTCAATAGTATGGTAAAACAAAGCTTTGAACAACCCTCTGCCGAGATAACATTCAGCAGTTTGGTGCTGTAAATGCACACCAGGCGTACATTTTCTCAGAAATGCTCATATGCTTCACAACCCATTTGTGCTCTGATGTGATTTGCATTGTGCCATCCACACCAGCTTGTTGTGGTAAAAAAAAAAAAGGGTCAGATCAGCAGGAGCTTTCGTGTATCGTTAGCTGGGGTCACTGTATAAACTGCAGTAAACACAATGCTTTACTTTCACACTATATTTCCAAGAAAATAAATATATTACTGGCAGAGTCTCAGCTCTTGCTTCATTGCAGTAGTTAAAGAGGAGGTACTGTGTATTCTAAATGGTTATAATAACAGTACAGTGTGTTTTCTAAATAGTTTATACATAGCGTTGGCTGTAATACATACAAGTGTAAAACCATTAAGGCCAGACAACAGTTTGAGTCTTTTGTGTAAATCTGCCAACAGAAATAATTAATAATGCAGTGGGACTGTAGGGAGAGACCAAATCAATAAGGTTTAACTAAGTGACATAAGAGCTGACAATGATAACTGCATGAGAAGGCACTGTTTGCTATATTTGCGGGGAACCATTTAGTCCCAGCAGTGAACACTAAAACCTCCAATACAGTTGCCATTATTATAAATGCCAAACTAAAATAATACCTGCTCAATTTATATATTATTCAATTAATACTAAACATATATATTTTCTTTTTATTGATGAAAAATATAATGTGAAGTTAGAAAATATGAACACACTTTCCCTTAAGTCCACTTGTCATGTTTATGCCAGAAAAATAAAGACCAACCATTATATTGTATAGCACATGCATGCTGCCTCAGGGGTCTTATAGTTTTGCCAATAAACTGCATAATGTAACACAAGAGGCATCTGTCAGTATCCATAGTAACAGATGTGTCCTGCCTCTGGTGCAGAGTGGCAAATGTGCCCTGCTGTTTATCTTGTTGTTATTGCTTCGCTGTGTATTAACAGAGACTTTTACTGTTTTCAGAATGCAACTTCAAGTGAATTGCTATTGGGCATTAGTTTGGTCGAAAATAATCAGCTTGGATTTGATAACTTGTTAATGTTGTTAATTCAAATTATCATACTTCCAAAAGGCAGCATAATGTTAATTAGCTTATCGGATTTGATTAACTTAAAGGGGGACTACATCGATTTAACACATCAAAGTCTGTTTACTGGGGTTGGGGAGTACTACTGCATATGTAGAAAACCTTTAGCTCCAGGAGGTCCAGTGTAAAGTCTGAGAAATTAACCCAATGTGGTAATTGGTTTAAATACAAGACCAAGTTTGAGAATGAAAAAACTCTGAAGGTGTTTAAAATGTTAACTTTCAGCTGCTTCTACACACTCAAACTGTCAGCTACAGTGTTGCATTGTGGATATGTCGGCACCTGGTCTGACAAAGAGGAAGATTGCGTTTGATGCAATTTGTTTAAACTGTCTATCTTGAGTTTAACAATGTTAGAGAAATTCCAGGACAGACTCCCTTTTTTTAAATCAGTTTTTGTCAGCTCAGCATGTAAAATGTAGAATGCACCAAATACAATTTGGCCCAGGAGGAAAGATTGACTGAATTTATGATCCAGCTACAAACATGCCTGATTCGAGACAGCTGGTGTGCAACACTATTGCTTTTCTCTGACGGCCCACCAGGAAAACTAGCACTGCTCCAGTAGCCAATATACCCCTGCTTGTGCGACATTATGCTTCAAAAACCCAACTCAACTCAGAGTGATGCAGCAGGCAGGATCACAGAGACATGGAGTCGTCTCCCACAGCGCCACATGTTTAGTTAAGTGACTTACACCGCTGGTGGCAGCTATAATCTAAGTATGTGCCAGAGCCAGAGAGCTGAAGTGAGCTCACTGCTACACCTCTCTCCAACAAAAACTCAAATGTGCTCCATCTTCTACGCAAAGAAACAATCTTTTAATGCAAAAATCTGAAAATAAATGTCTTGGTTTTTAACAAAACATGCTTCCCAGTGAACTAATATCTACAAAACAGGGAATAACTTGTTAAATGTTTAATTCATTCTTATGCCGTTTCTACACATTTATTCTGATATTCACAATTATTGAAAAAGGAACACACTATTACATGAACAAGCTGAGTGACCATTTCCAATTTCACAGGCACCATTACCGTATTTTTGGTGAATGTATGCAGAAATAGCACACAAAGGCCGCCAAGGACTACAGTTTGTCTGACTGTGAGTTTTATCAGTCGTTGAAGCAACTGAGGAAAAGAAGATTGTCTAAACCGAGCCCTCAGATCTGCCGTGAAGCTAAATCTGAATACAGAAGTGCTGTCAGTGCTGTCAGCTCACAGTTATGCACCCTGGAAAAAGTGCAAACAGGAACCTGATCAGTGCGATGCTGTATAAACACGCTGAGAGAAGCGAGAAGGAGGAGAGGAGCTCCTGCTGTCAGCTGGATGAGTGTGTGGCCTTCATCGCGGGCCAGACTGCATTTTGGCAGACAGAGGGTGACACAGATGCTTGAAGAAGATATGTGAGGGTAATTTGTTTTTGCATAAGTCAAACATGACGTCAAACTAAAATAAACAGGCTATTAAAACGGAATTACATTTAATCTATTTGTTCCATATGATCCCACATAAAGAGACAGAAGACTTGCCCGGTGTTGCAGGGGCAACCACTTCTGTTCAGTCATCTGCATTATTACCTTCAGCAAAGACCCAGACAGCATGTGCTCCTAACAATACCTGGCCAATTTACTTTGGAAATGAAGGAAGTGCAATTAATGTTGAGCTAACTTTGAAAGAAATCCTAGGAAAGAATACTTTTTTTTTTTATTTACGCAATGGTAGCAGATGTTGTCCTTTAATAGCGCACTATATTATGCAGATGTGCAATTCTCAGGTGCAGTAGTAGTTCACTTATTCTTTGCTGCATCAGGACCTTGATAGTAGCACAATAAAGTGAAACATACAAGCATAAGTCCTAAATTATACTAACAAATTAAAACTTTTGGTATCAGAAGTCCAGGCCTTCAACCAGTGCTTTTGTTAGGAGCATAAATGAGCAGCTCATGCAGAAAAACATATGGAGATACAGTACCGAATTTAACAAGCATTATATCAAAATGCAGATAAACAGCTGTTGCTGCAGCTGCTTCTGTGCCGCTGGATCAACAGGCCTGATGTGCTTTGGGAAGATAAGAACATTTTTCACTAGGTTGTTACGCAGGACAGCATGTTCTCTAATGGTTTTTCAGACTTTTATTTAGCTGGAAAACAAATCTTACAAGACTGTGCCCTGTAGGAATTTACGCATACGAAATTAAAATAATCTGATCATATTACATCCTAGAAAACAATCTGCTCACTACTGTATACACAGGTCTTTCTTAAAGTCTTCTTTCTCACTGATTTTAAAAACTTTTTCTGGCTTCTAATATAAGTCAGCAACTATTTGTGTCTATGTGGACATTGACACAGGTGACATTTTGAATGGACTGAAAAAAACTCACGGTTGGAGGTTGCCATTCCTGCAAATATGAGTTTGTCCAGCCCTGCAAATTGACCCATGTGCCTGCTGTGTAAGGGAACATGAAGTATCACACACTTAAATTCTGCCTATCCAGCTATGCAGACACAACCCTTTATAAGAGCTTCTTCATCAGCTGATCTAAAAATGAGACATATCTCACTTCAGATTTTGTTAGCTCATGGAAAACAGCTCATTCACATGCCATGAATCTGTATCTCTGAATATGTATATTAGCCCTGAATTATTTTAGAGAAGCAACGCATCTGCTGACATGTATAAATCAGTATCAATATCTTAGTATATTATAATAGTTCTCTCAATATAGTGATAATGTGGATCCCCCCTTGATTGAACAATATCATTAATCCAACAAAGGCTAGACGACTTTTCCAAAAGCTGAGATTGATGTGCTGTCTTTGCTTGTCTTTCATAATTTGTTTCTATTGGAGCATTATATTTACTCAGCAAAATGGCATTACTAGATTCCCTCAAGGTCTCAGAGGAGATCACCATCTTTTTGAATTAAAGATCTACTGAGATTGATTATCCAACACTTCTGGTGTTTTTGACAGAAAAAATGTCCAAGGATGTAGGAGGAGTTCTTTCATAAATTGTCCTGAAGCCACCAGACTCATATCACAGCGATAGACGCTAGATAAAAATTGAGCAAGGCAAGAAATCAATCAACACAGCCGGCAACAGAGACATGTCGCAGGTAGACCCAAACACAAGAGAGATCGGTATCGCCACGTACTGTGCCGACCCCTTAAAGTCTAACTATAGCTCTGTGAAGGGCAGTGTGTGTGTGTCCAAGGTCACGCATGGTCAGAATTAATCTGAGTGAGCAAACAGTCTGACCTGAGAAGCCTCAGCATGCGGTTTATCTCTGTGTACTCATGCTAACGCCTCTGTCAACAGTCAACTTTTACAAGCTCTGGCACGTTTGTTGTGCTTTGAATAAGCTGCCAGCTTTCCAATTAAATGTCCTGCCAGTCTCCTTCAAACCAGCACAACGCTGTAGGACTTATTAATTCATTAACAAGAGAAGCTATGTGTGCCAGGTGTCAAGTGTTTTGGAAATCACCAGATGCTTTTTCTTCCTCTGTGACATGAGGGATTCAAAATCTGTTCTTCATATGTTCCCAATTTGACTAATATCACATTGACGTAAATGGAGAGATGGGAAAATGCGAAATTTGTATGTGAAACGTGTACAGATATATTTCTTGGGCATTGGTGATGTACTAGTGGTTATGATAAACTCAGTACACTCTGACGTCCATGGTTCATTCCAGCAGAAACGTTATGTCCTACAGAAAAGCTGATAGTCAAGAAAAGATGGGGTGATGGCATTAGAGAGCAAGACACAAGGCACTGAGGATCTAGTCTACGGCTAAACCACTGTCTTCAGACGTGCTGTAAACATATCGTTATGTTTCTATGTTAAACATAGGCTGTCTCGATGTTAAAGCATGAGAAATAAATGGGAGAGAAGGAGAAATTAATGCTCTGGAGATGAATGCTGCATGTCATTTAATTTAATATTCAAAATATTCGATGCTTGCAGTTCCTCAATAATCTGGCATCATTGAACCTCTAGAATATCAAGCTGCCACAAAGCACCACAATGAATTGAAACCCATACTTTTCAAAATGAGAGGTTGAAGGTCCAAATATGTGAAATGTTGTTATTATTTAGCCATATACTATAGTGTACAGAACAATGTGTGTCTGTTTTTTAACAAGATCATGTACTCCTTCTCCTTCATTAAAACGTTGCGTTATCTATGAATATGCAAAGTTTGAAGGGTCCCTGTGGAGTGTTCTTGTAAACAAGCAACGTTTGATTTTTTTCATTCAGTGTTACTCACTAAAGCTTTACATTTGTTTAAACAAACGAGTGTGTTTTCTTCCTTGTAAAACATTTGCAAAGTCTGCAGTGATAACAGCTTTGTATACCGGCTTGCAGGCTTCTTCCTCACAACCTGTTAGCGCAGAGTACACACAACAAAACACGGCTCCACACTGTTAATATCGGTCAAAAGACCCAAAGAATTATACCGGTGGATACAAGATATTTCACTTCATTGAAAAGGCCATCCTCACTATATGGACACTGGAGGAAGTTTCCAGACCACACTTGTATAAGTTGCATATTAAACAACTATTGGCTACTAAACTATAGCGACGATGTCAATTTTTAAACTGAAGCTCATTCTGCATAGTGTTCCTCAAACATAAGGTGAAAAAAATGAAAAATAATACAAATAATAAGAAAAGTCAAACATTAATGACTTTATGCTGATTGACCCAACAACATTTTCGAGTTGACGAAGAGTGTGATTGCACATTTGGATGTTAAAGTCACCAGACTACATTCTGATAATGACTTATTTTTCCTTTCACACAATTGGACAATAAATCAGTTTCACAATGTTTCCCATTCACACTGAATAACTTTTAACTAATAATAGGCTTTTTTCTGGTAACATTCAGTGTCAAAACTGTCAAACTCAGTGTGAAAACACTAATTCATTAGTGTGGTGTTGATGAGCTTACAACATATTAAAACAAATATCATGAAATAAGGACTTAGGGAAAAAAAGGTGACACAACTCAGAGTTGGAAATCTAATCTATAATGATATTCTAACTCAATTGTAACGGTCTTTTCTGGAAATATATTTTGCAGACTTGGTCTAAGTTGTCATTCCAGCTTTGTTTGTGTGTTCTGGATGGCGTAGGTTTTTTGGTGTGTGACAACCAGTCATTCAGTCACTAAGACCCAACAAAAGTTACAAAATGTGGCTGTCAAACCCACTGAAGACCAAAGAAAGCCTTTGCTGCCTCTGTTGTTTTGCTGTCATTATAAACATATTGTGTCCGATACTCCACATTCTAGGTGGGTGTGCTTTCTGAGAAATATGCACGTTTATCTGTCAGCAATGACAAGATAATGAATACTGCTTTGTCCACTCCCTTATCTGATGCGTAATGATCCGTATCATGTTTGATAACAGGTTCAGAAAAATAGAGAAGACTCACAAAACAAGATTTCACACAAAGTTGTTTTTAACAAAATAAGGTGTGTTTTTGTTGTTGCTTTGGAGTAGGTTTTTTATATTAAATTCATATTTATATGTTGTTGTAACATCCAGGTTTTGGTATCAAGTTATTTCTTCCATTTCTTCTCCCATCCTTCCAGAAGCCAATTTGTTGTCAAAAACTCAAACTGGTTCTGCAAAATCTTTAACAAAAAAACTGTTGTTCCACTAACTGCTGCTAACAATGAATCCAAGGCTCTTTTAGGAACATAGATTTTTCCTACAATTCTTATCTCTTCCCAGCATGCTGTGTCCAAACATAACCAAAAGGAAATATTCTTCATTGAGTATTCAACACTCAGCAACGCCATGTGTTTCCTATGTGCGTGTCAAGATAATTTTGATTAGATGACATTTGCTGCTGTTGCGAGCATCTGTTGCAGTCAGAAGACAAATGTGACTTGCTGTGTTTTGTTTCCCGCAGGACTACAATGACGAGATCAGACAGGAGCAGCTGAGAGAGCTCTCGCTGCTGAACGGCTCCGAAGAGTCGAGCCGAGGCAGGAGCGCGCCGGTGAGGAGTGCACGACCGGCAGCCACCATATCCACAGGGTAAAGCACTACAATACTGCGGTGTGAAAGAAAAAGGGCTCTAAGACTGAGTACCAATATTTCTTTACTGTTAGGTTAAGAATCTGTCTTCAATATGTTAATATGTACATAATGGTGAGCATAAATGGGTTTTCTCCATTGTCAGGGGGATTTTATGTAACTTTAGAGTTCCTTTTAACACTGTTTACCCAAGCGGCAACCATTGGTGCTTGAGGCTGGCTCCAACATCAAATCAATTCCAACACACACCATGGTAAAATACTAAGACTTTTGAGCAGATATAAACATGTTATCAGGCTGGTATCTACAGCGAAATTCAAAATTGGAAATCCGTAGACCCTCATTTTTATATCTTGACTGTTTCAATTATATAAAGGCTAGGAGTTATGCTTAGCTAAGGACGTGGCCACTTTGAGTGACAGGTAGGGGTTGGTCTGCTCAGATGCATCGCCCGGGCTTAAATCAACACGTCTCTAGGCCCATTTTTTTATATGGCCGTGTTGGGAACAATGAGCCATGGGACAGTTAATGGGAAGTTAATTGTTAAGACATACATTTTTTTCCCGGTCAGTCATTTTCACAAGAATGACAGCTGTGTTAACTGCAGTTTGTCTTATCCCCCATCCCCTTTGAGGACTCTTATTTTCGCATTGTCATGCAGAAATATATTATGAGATTAATAAGTGATAATACACTTGGTGGGGGGGCTCCGTTGAGCGTATATATTACTTGTGAATAATTATATGACTGTTATAAATGGCTGAGCAGTATCCTCATGATGAGTAAATCATTTTCATGTGTTTCTTTGATGCATCACCTAAAAGAGGTCAACCTCTAGCAGCTTATATGTGTAGCAATCTGATGCATACTAAAACTCAACCGTAGAAAATTAAAAAGGAATTGGCCAGCTTTATGGTGAATGTAATGGTTCATCAAAACTTGATCAGGTTGTAATTCGTTTTTTAAAAGTTTTATCCTTTACTAATGTTTTTTTCAAGTTGTGTCTTGAGTTGATTTCCACATCCTCTACTGTAGCTCATGGGGATTTTAGGATACAGACAGGAGCAGCTACAGAAATAACTTAAAGTCAGAGAACATTTGATCGGCTTAGCCATGCATGCAGCTGCTCGTATGAAACGTCGGCCGGTTCAAGTCTCCTCTAAAATGTGTTTTTAGAGCAAATTGTCCGTAATCTACCTTTGCCGTGGCGGTCCCTAAGGAGTAACCAGGTACGGTGTGCAATGAAAACCTGGCCTAATTTCAGGCAGCATAAATGAGCTAAATCCTGACGCTAACAATTTAAAGTCACCACCACCACTTCCCTACCTTGATTTTCTCCTTATAGCACAACGATAAGCAATTATTGTTCATCTCCATGAAAAATATGCACCAGTAATTCCCCTTTGACTGGATGTATTTTTGGATCACAATGGGCTGCTACCTAGTGAAGGATGTGCCAGAGGAAGAAAGGGTATCCTAGCCCACCTACATCATGCCGCTGTTAAAAATGCGAAATTAGCGGACAATAGACAGATTAGCAATGCTAAACCCACCCTTCAATCCCTGCAGTGTTTTCTGTGGTTCTGCCACTGGACAGTCATATCCCCCCATAAAAGAAACAATCCACCTTAAATGCTCCTGCCTGCCCATGTCCTTTGGCTTCTATAGTCTCTTTTCTGGACCGTGCTGAATAGGTCTTTGTAATTCTACAGTGTTGTGCAGCTTCAGGCAGATGGAGGTGTGATTTTGTACAAAGACTCGGCACTGCTCCACCGTGTTATTGAAATAAGCACGCTGCATCCCACAGGCATGTTTGACAAGCTGAGAGAGACACAAAGTGACACTCTTGAGCCCTCTGATCATTACAAGATCTACCTCAGTGCCAGCGGAGGTTATGCTTATCTTGTGTTTCACCCGAGCAGACTGTACGGCAGCCACCTACTGAGGCAGCATGCACATATGCAGTGATAAAAGGGAATGAACAACTTCCCTAATGTCTTAACCCCACTTTTCACTTAAATCACTGCATAAAATGTTATGGGGGGAGATTCTTAAGGCAAATGTTTGTCTGTTTGACGCTTTTCCAGGGGCCACAGAGGCACAGGGAGGAGTGCAGCAGCACCTCGGGGGACAGCAGCAGCGACGCACGGCAAACTACCTACGACTGTTCTCACGAGGGAGGTACAAGCCCCGAGAGCCAGGGGGGCAGCAGGGAGCGCAGGATACAGACCCCTGCTGTTAGCAGTCACACATGAGTCATACGACGACTATGTAAGTCCAATCCTTTTTGCACACACTGAAAAGTATGGCTGTGACTTTCACTGCGAGTATATAAGACAGGTTTTAATCCCCTTAATGAGAATCTGGATGAGTCTTTATTTTACAAGGAGAGGTAAGGTATTCAGGGACATGTGCTGGAATAATTAGGGCAAGAAGGAAACTTTGACAATTTGTATTTAATTAACTTAAATTAAATGCATTCCATAATTATGTTTGCAACAATGTTGGTATCTGTTAGGCAGCCATTGATTCCCATTCATATCAGAATAATATTAAATTCTACTTGCTTGTATTAAAAGTTGATAAGCATCCTTGGTATGGCTCGGTATGTAGTTTCATAACAATTCCCTTTCCTCTTTTCCCAAAACATTTTCAAACTATAGATATTCTTTGGCCCACATACCTTCAAGCCAAAAACAAGGCCATTTGCTGATAAATATTAAACAAAACAATTAATTAATCTATCAATGAATTATGATAATTGGTTGAATGCATTACTTTAGTTCTGTTCAAAAGTAAATTAACCTAAATACATTTTAGGTGTTTTATGGAAGTATCTTTGCTGCTATAAAGAGGAATGTTTTGTCTCAAGATGTCACCTTTGCAACTTTTGTCCCATGGACGAGGCATTCTATTACGGGACAGCTAGATTTTCCTGTCCACAAAAGGCTGTAAGCTTAGCACCTTTCCGTGTACACGTACAGACACATTTTAGCTCAGGTTTCACTGTATTGAGTGCTGAGATATGTCAGCGTTGAGCTCCATTTGCTGTGACAAATCTATCCATCACTTGCTCTAACTGGTACTATCTTTGACTGCTGTGCATTAAAAATGTTCTCCTGTCAAACTAATTGCATATTTACACCATCTTGTATTTAAAAAAGAAACATGGAGGAAGTTATGAAATGATACCTTACCTTCTGATGGGGTAAAATGAAAAGTAAAAAAATCCAAAGGTTAATTCCAGAAAGCATCCACATTCTGATATCAGACTTTGATAAATGTGATAAGCAAACATGTTTTTGGTATGATGTGAATCATGCTCACATATAATATGAAGTCTATCTGCACCAGTTCACAGTCCCTCGGGAGAGCCAGTAGATGTTCATTCTGTGGTGAAATAGATTGATAAAAATGGCTGCCTGAAAGGTACAGACTGCAGTAAAGCAAATGTGAATAGTATTACACAAGTAATGAGAGCATATGTACTATGGATCACGTTGAGTTAAAGATTGTATAAACATACATTGATGTTACATAATAGCAAACCACTGAAACTCTGCACTGTGAATAGCTGCATGCAAAAAGAGGAAACTCTTGGAAGTGTAACGCCTTGACCGGGGGTCTATAAAGTCTTTGTTCACATCACTTGAAATAATGCTGGGATCCATATCAAAACACACTCAAAGCCTTATTTAAAGGTAAGCTTGTCCTTTGAAATGTCTCAAGGTCATTTTGAAAAGACTACACAAGGTGAGCTCAAAGTTTCCTCCAAATGAAAAAAGGCAACGCTTTTACCAGTCTATTTCCTCAGAGCCTTCCTGCTAAGCAAAGCCCCCATGTGTGCTGGCAATTGAAGATTGGGCTGTCTGCATGGGGAAATGCACAAGCGCAGTCTCATTACCAAACCAAATTGAGTTCTGATGTAGGGCCTGTGTATTTCTGAGGAGTAAAAAGCGGGGCATTTCTTCTCTTTGTAATTGGAGGTTGGAAAGAAGGATGGGAGCGCAGAGACTAGGGGATTATGGAAAGATGAGTTTGTCTGGAACATTTTCTTCCCTTATATCTCACTTTTTTTTTCTACTACATTACAACAATTTTCTTTGAGCATGTTTCCAGAACGTAGCACAACCTCTTTATACAAAGGTCCAGGTTTGTTTGCTTTTTCAATCACGGAGCATACAAGACGCTGTGCAGGCTTGTTGTTATTCCCCTACAAGAATCCTGTACAATCTGCTGAACACAATAATAGATCAGCAGCAGAAACATCTCTGTTTGTCTATGGCCAAATAAATGCTGTAATGTGTGAGGGTATCGTGTAGATTTCTCCAGAGCCTATTGATTGATGGACTGTCACGTCTGTCTCATAAAAGTGATACTGTGAGAATGTCCATAATTGCATCTAATCGAGGGTGGTATCGATTTGACACTTTAAGGGAAAAGCACGAGGAAGCTGGTAGTTATCATGTATCGTTTATGCTTTATAATTTATGAACGTTTCATCCTTATCTTTCCGCCACAAATCTCACCTTGCTATATCCTTTTACATCAGCTCTATTCTTTTTCAGTCTCCTTTGTTCCTCCTTGTTTGTGAAATTGGTTTTGCAATGACTCAAGTTAGAGTTTATCATTAAGGTTTGCAGAATTCTGCAGTAATTCACTTGTCCAACACTCACTAAAAGTGTATAAAGCTGCCCCGCCAAAAGCAGATTTGCACTCCTAACTTGGGTTTTGACTTTACACTGTGAAATAAATCAAGGCCAAATTGTAATTCAAGGATAAGGTTATTGAGATTTCTTCCTTGATATTGTATTTGTGTTGTTGCCAACAAATCCCATTAAAAAAACAAAACTATTAAAAACACATCACTGAGCCCCACTGTTGCCCTCAAGGACATTTTCCTTCAGCACTATCGTTTTGAGTTAATCCACTGCTTCTGTAGAAACTTTGAGTATATAAATCCACAGCAGAAAATAGTGCCCAAAAATGCATTGTTTAATACTGTTTGGGTATCATTGACTAATAACTGCCACTTATGACCAGCTGTTTGAGTAAATTAAGACTTTTTAAAAGTTAAACTATACATTTTTGATGAGTTACGTCAGGGGTGTCAAACTCAATTTCATTGCGGGCCACATCAGCATTATGGTTGCACTCAAAGGGCCGGTTGTACCTTTAAGACTATATAAAAATACATATATAAATATTTAATATATATAAAATAATGTATTATATTACATTATTGCCTCTGCATTGGATTATTATCGGATAGGGTAATAACTTCATAATTAACTACGTCTGAAAGCAGAAGTCTAGGGCAAATAATTGCAAGTCTCTTCAGTGAGAATGTCACAAAATGATTTAAAAAGAAAAGCCAAATTCTGGAAAAAATGTCAAAAGAAAAAAAGAAAAGTGACATTTTGAAAAAAAAGTTACATTTAAAAAAAGAAAAATCAAATTCTGAGAAAAAAGTCAAATTTGAGATGCATTGTGGGACATGTAGTTTATGGGCAACGTGCCTCTGTAAAGTAGCACGTAACCGTATAATAAACATATCATATTTTTTGCAAGCTCTTGTGGGGCCACATAAAATGAAGTCGCGGGCCGGATTTGGCCCCCAGGCCTCGAGTTTGACACCCCTGAGTTACGTCTTTATTGAAAATCAATGGACTTGGGGTAACATAGGAACCACAAACATTGTAGTTAAGTCACAAAGTATTGAGAAAATCTCCATCAGTATGTGGAACATCTTATTTCAATTCTGTCAAAGCACACTGGTTGCCAATTCACAAATGATGAATTACATGTAGGAACTTATTAATAAAAATACATTAGTTCATAATTCAGGGGAAATATCTTGATTTAAAGCCAAGTATTCTGCACATGGATAATTTCCATTGGTCATTGATGCAGCCCCTTTTTTGTTTCCTTCATTGCAGCATTTTGGAGTTGCATTGTCCTACATCCTTTTAAGCACAAAATGTTTTAAACATTGCTTTACAATTTTCTGCCAGAGACTAAATGGCCCAGGATTGCTTATCTATAACTAGCGCATACTGTATGCATGCAGTTTTTCATGAATCATGTAGTTTGCAGTCATTGTGTAAAGTAAATGACTGACAGACTATTTATACATTGGGGTGAAGTTCCTATAAACATTTCCTGTGTTTCTGCTGTGGAGCAGGTCATCGTGTAACAGGGCTTCCTCTGGAGGCTGTAGTGATGAATGGACTCTGCCACACTGTCAGTGTTGTAAAACTAATACAGTGACAGTGACTATTATTGTTCCTCTTAAAGGATAGCAACCATTCAGAAGTGAAGTGGGTTATAGGAGGTTGAGTCTATATATAAATACCACCTCCACACAATGAGCCAAACATATAGTCCAGGTCAGCCAGGTATTTAACAGATTCTTCACATCGTCAATTGAAACCCTTCTAATCTAGAAGTCAGACTTTTAAGGAGAGATGTTAACGTATTGCAGCAAAATGATCTGCTTTGTGTCTGTAAAAAATCTGCGTCTCATACGCTGAAGTGCCGGTGGGGTTTTAGCATCATTTCAGATAAATTGATGTTCACTTCAGTGATTCAGTTATCCACACAGAATTGTTTTCACTTTAAAAAGAAGAAGTCTGGTCCTTTAAGGTGAAGAGTCTCTTATTAATTATGAACAGTCTGAGCATTGAAAAATGAATTCAAAGCACATAATCTATTCACAAATGAAAAGTGGGCCACCTAAGCACAACACTGTCATTCCTCCTGACAGTGAAAGTGCCTGAAATGCAGATCTGTCATTCGGTATTTTCTAGAGATAAATTACCACGAGTTCAGCAATCAGCCGTTCTTTTCTCTGTCATTTGCATTTTTTATTTGATTTCCACTGGTACCAGAGAACATGTTTTCACACTATTGAGCTCATATAAAAACAGCATGTGATTCGATGTGGTGCCACTTTTCAGAATATGAATTTTTTATGTGTATTTTATGGTTTCCAAATAAGCACATTCATACTAAGGTAGGTTCAGTTGCTGCAGGTTTGTGCATCTGCTAAAATTACCAGTAATAACCAGGATTGTGTGACTTTTAAACAGGCCGTAATGAATAAATGTTACTAATCCCCCGGAAAGAGCAGCAGTGTGGCACTGTGATCAGGATAAGTTCCTCCGTGAAGAAGGCGCAAAGAGAAAGCAGAGGGAGATTAAAGATGTGATTGATGGCATTTTGTATAGACTGGGACCATGGCCTCAGTTTAATGTTAGAGATCAAATCCCATCTGGATCAAATCTTATCTTTAAATGTCAGGGCTGATGATAGAAGAGAGGAATCTGGAGAGTCATGCAGGAATCTGTCGCTGACAGACGACCATGAATTGTACAAATTGCTGGTAAAAATTGAAACACATAGCTTGGTTTTTAAACCTGAGCCCTGCAACCATACCGAGGCAGTGCGGGAAATGCCATAATGTGATTAAACACAGAGCTTTGGGAGGCTTTGAAGAAAAAAAATCTAATCTATCTACTGTGGAAAAGGCAAAAGGACACCCTTTTGAAACGGGGGGGAAATTCTCCCCATATCATCTATTTCATGAACATAAAAGATGTGTGAGATTCTGTATATTTCTTGTAGCAGAGCGGTTTCTCAGGCCACCTTTAATTGCTTTGTAACAATGGGTTGCGATACACTGCTGAGTTCACATTTGTTAGATTAAAATTAGAATTAAAATTCTCCATGCAGACCCCTTCTGTTTATTAAAACAGTTGTATGACACACACTTCCACTCGATTATATAACAGAAAAAAAGACTCAGGGACAATGCATAATGGCTCCAGTTGGATATCATCAGGCACTGAAGCCCGGTGTGAAGGAAGAAGCAGACAGAAGCTTAATGCTAAACTCTACAAGCACACCAAGTACTGCGATTACATCTGAAGACTTGTCTGTTTGTTTTGTTCTCGAGCATCCGTTCAGCCAAAAAGTGACAAACACGATATTGTTTAATGTCACCTTTCTTGAAAGCATTTAAGGATCAATCTCACGTGGAGAGATTAGCCCTTTTCTCACATTTAACCATGACACAAGTTGAGTGATTATATTCAAAAGTGAACTCCTACTTCAGGCGTTAAACCAACAACAAAGGGCTCTTGCTTTTTTTGAATTTGCACAGGTAGAAAGCGGTAAAGAGCAGCATCTATTCACTGAGACAAAAGGCTGCAAATCTCATTTTCCTGCACACTCTGAGGCGTGGAGAGGCATTCACAGGCAGCCCCCCATGAAGATCAGTCACTGTCAGGGGCCATACAGGTTGTCAATTGATAATGAAGCACAGTGCTAAGGGCCTTCAGGTTCTTGCTGTCCTAATTACACTGAGCGAGGACTCTCCACCCTTGTGTTAACATTTGATTTATTCCCTCTGCCTTGTTAAAAAGGACCAGTGTTAATTGTTTTTGCAGATGAGTCAAACTTGTGGAATCAAGCCTCATTAATTAGGGGCCGGGCTATTCACACATAACACCTTGTCGAACCCAAGCCTGTGTCGTATGTCAAATGAATACCGAGGTCAGCTGAGAGATAAGACAGATGTTTTGTTATGTTCTTTCTGAGCTGATGCTGAATTAAAGGATTATATATACAGTATATTGCATGGGTTGTAGTGCTTCTTACTAACAGTGCTATTCAGATTTGCCCATTTTACAAATAAAAAGGTTAAACAAATATTTCAAGCTGTTCTCACAGACTTTTTTGTAGCAACATAAAGGAATGTACTATTATTTGTATATCCCTGTGAAGCTGACCATTGAGCGGCCCGACCAAGCAAGGAGGCAGAGGCAGAGAGTTCAAATACAACCCGGTGTGGGCATTTATTCATCCTTGTGGTACATGATACACAGCCTCAATATGACTGTCTCACGTGAACACAGTCACCAGCAACAAGGATCTCACACACACACACTAACAGGAAAACAGAACCTAAATACACACAGGACTAATCAGACAAACAAGACACGCAATCACCAGCAACAGACAAGACGGGAGGGGGAACACTTTTCAAACTAAAACAGCAAACAGAGACAGACAAACTAAAACATACAGATCGTGACAAATAGATGCATAAATTACATATATTCACATGCTTCCTGTGCAATGTTTTAGCGTGGAACAAATGAATATGCTTCGCCAATAATGAAGCTATATCCTACATAACGGAGGCAGAGATCTACGGCCCCAGAGATCACCTCCGTTACAATCCCACAAAATCTAATTGTGTATAATCCACGTAATTGTGACCAGGAAGCATAAGAGAGATAACGTTGTGTACGCAGAGACCCATCCTGTGTAGTAGCCTCACATTCTCTAGATGTAAAAGCATGAACTGGACACCGAGATAACTTTATAAATATCTTCCTCATGGTACACACTCATGGCACACACACACACACACACACATTATGCTGACACAAGAGGGGTTCAAATGAATTCAGCATCACTGTAATGTTTTTGAGTTATTTTTCATAATTTGTATACAAGGCTACAAAGAGAATCACACTTTAAATGATACTATATTACTATAAATAACTCAAGTCTTAGGCTACACTACTTTATTCCTGCATAACTCTATCAAGACTGAAGGTTTATATAATAACACATTTGACTGAAATTAGTCCACTGATCTCTTCACATTTACAGTCCAGCGTGGAGCGATTTGTCACGTGGGATTGCTACTGTAACAAAAAAACTGTCAATTACTGAGATACGCAGGTCTCTGACTCGGCCTTTGTGGGGAAAGACTCATGCAAGAAAGGGAGAAGTATTGGATCCCCTGAACAACTTAATCCCTGACATAATCCCTAACTTTAATTTAGTCAAATTCATGTTCCCAAAAATGAAGCCACACAGGAACCAGAGCTTTTTGAGTCAGCAATACCCGTCATTAGAGGGAGAGTGTGAACAAGAAAATGTAATTTATTTGTGTTGCTGCACTTGATGTCCTCCATACCAATATGCTTTGGTGTCATAAAGCATTACCGAAAGCAGTGACACCTAAAGCAAGATGATATTACTCTATTGTTACAGGCATACAGGAATAATGGACTGTTTATACCCTGTCTGGTTATTGAAGCCTTTCAACACATCCCATCCTGCTGATTTAAAATGTATTCGATCTCTAAGATGAGCTGCACACTTGCATGCATCTACAGTACATGGAGCTCGATTTTAAATAGCAAAGCTTTGAAGGATTAGAAGAGATTAGATCATGATGAAAAAAGAAACATAAGCACTTTAAACTCCACTAAATATCTTCAATGAGCGAGATCCCACAATTACAAGAGCAGACAATGGCTACGTCTACTGTTCTTCACACACTCTGGCCTTATTCCAGTGGAGGTGTTATTCAGGTTAAGCTGTTTACGTAAACCTTTTGTCCTCCGGGATTCATTATCCCCTCTGTCATGAATAAACCATTAAACTGAATATTGGGTGGAGTGCATTCTTCAGATAGATCAGTCCACACACGGTTTGGTTTCAGAAGTGGGTGAACGATCTAAAGACAGATGTGTTTCCTTCATTTATATAAATGTACATGCATCTCAATCTAAGAAATAATGAAATTGTTTATATTGTGTACAGAAAAATTTAACAGTATTGAAATTAGATTGGAATAAAAATGGTACATAAATTACTGCTTTATCATTCAACTGACCAATACTAGCTTCCAGATACAAATAGTGTCCTAGGAGAACTAGCTTTAAATACATAACATTCATATTTTTTTCTATCCAAAAAACGTCCTGCTAGGACATGAGCCCTAAAGTAATAATATCTGCTCCTAAAACGTAACTGCTGCGAGTGCACAGTCTTGATTTGAAAGCAACTTTGATGAGCAATTGGATTTGTAAAGGTGAGGGGGACATGTCTTCTTCTACCTCCTGTGGAAATGACACCTTTAAGTGTAACAGTGATACAAAAAAGAAGAAAACCGACTGATCATTCAAGTGATGAGATGCTATAGTAATCAATTTCCTATTAAAATAGTTTGATGTTAAAAGCTTCTTAGCACGCCCCTCTGTGGTTTCTTGTTCATCTAACCAAGTTATAATGGTTACTTGAATTGTTTCAAAACCAGGTTACATGCAAAGCCTCGGAGTCTTCTGATGTGGATAGTTCTTAACTGAATATTAGGACTGGAGGCTCAAACCTGCAACAGAATGTACTCTGCATTCATCTTTGACCATTTGACAAGAAAAACAAAAACGACATGTTGACATCTTTTTGTTATTACGCAATTACATTACATAGCATTAATGAAACTGTCAGATTTCTCATCAAACACAACAGAGAATCTGTTTTGGAAGAGAACAGAAGAGCTGTGCGGTTAGTGAAATATGCAAATTAGAGTAATATATGGATAGGTGTTCTTGCTTCACAGCAGCATGGGAGGTACAAATACTAACAGTGACATTCTTTATACAGCAAGTCTTTGTTGTTGCTGTGCATGCTGCTAAGCCATTTTAATTGTTATTTAACATGACTCTACTTGCTGGCTTTCTGTGCTCATTTCTCAAGTAGCTACTTATCAATAGTTCAGATCCATATTGCAGTGTGAGAGTCAGAAGCTGTCTATTACGCTCCAGTAGTGAGACATGCTCCCCTGCAAGCCTGAATCAATAATCTCTGTTGGACAGAAATTGTTCCTGTTCCCTCTCTTATTATGGACACAAAGTAATGGACTTAGCCTCGGGAGCTAAGTATTGATTGCTTTACATTCACCTCTAACCAGTTAGACTGGATAGAGATTTGGAGGCAAGTCGACTTTAATAACTGTGTTTCCTCGCAGGGCTACGACGATGGGTACGGTGGAGAATACGACGACGACAGTTACGAAGCCTACGAGGAAAACTACAGCAATCAGGCAAAGAGGTGAAGTTTATACGCACGCATGCACAGTCACCATATGTCCACTGTCACTCATAATAAAATATGATAAAAGGTACTGTTAATAAATCCCAAAACAAATTGGCCTTTTGTCTGTGAATCCAAAACCCTAAATATCTTAGACTTCTTCACTGGAATCCAAAAATAATTAAAAAAATATTAGCGAGCAACATGGCACTGTAGGTGTTTTTAATCAAATGTACACCGTCAAGCTGCCGTAAATTCTCACTACAGCTCCAAATGTGTGTTTGTCTGAAGAAATACTTCTTAGTAAAGTTGCTGAAAACTTTAGTGCCCAGCGCTTACTGGAAATTACAGAGCTTTGCAAAAACATGGCTTTGTGTGACATGTTAAGAAAGTATATGATGATAAGATGAAACACATTGCCAACCTCATGTATATTTAAAATTATTTTTACCTAAAGAAAATATGTCAGCACCTTTTAATATTTTACGGGATTCTTGACAAATGCTTGTTGTTCTTGATATTAACTCTTTTCAATGTGTCCTCTTTTAGTATTTCAGAATATTATGATTATGGACATGGCAACAGTGATGAATCCTATAACAACTATGGTAAGTACTGTTTATTTTTGTAAGCTGAACATCTATACAAATATGAGTCACACCCTTCATGTGTCATCTCTTCTCTCTCTATTTGCTCCCACTGTCAATAGTTTGCTGTTATGTAATATAACACTATGAAAGCATAAATGAAGTTAGTTAATGGAAATCATTATTAATTGGTAGGTTATTTGAAAATTAAGATAGGGCACAAACAAACAATCTTAAATAAGGTTATGATAATTCCTAAGGTTCAGCTGCATTAATAAAAGTTAAATAATGAAACATCTTGGAAGCCTGGGATTTCTTGCAAGACAATTTCTGTATTTCAAAAATGTTTTATTCCTTCTTAACGATATTGAGAAAGTCTTTCAAGTCACTAAAGTGAGGATATTTATAATTATTGCATTAATGGAAATTCACATTGTATAACTTATTGTGTTTTTAATTGCAATCCGTGATAAAATCACATCACGCCATCCTATCATCCCATAGTCAGTTTAGCACATACAGCAATATCTGCGATAACACATGACATGTTTTCCAGTGTCATCATTGCACCTGAATTTAAGCCAGTAATATTTCACAAAAGCAATTTCCCCCTTTTGTTGAATTTAATTAGTTGAATTTGTAGACAAGACACAGTGTATGATTTTAAAATCAGACTTTTTGAGAAACATCCTTGGACCTCATTTAAATTCCTCACAAGAAAAGAGTTTTGGCCAAACAATGCTGTCTGCTACTGTACTGATATTTAAAAGATGTTGGGAAGCACAGAATCTAATCATCACCATGGGGGGGGGGGGGGGGGGGGGCTCCTGCATGCACCACCCCTCCTCCCTCCATGGCTACGGGCTGCCTTTGACTAGAACAGTAAATGTGCCAGAGGAAGCTCAGGGGGAGAACCGATGCCCGTTGTAAAAGGTGGAGTGTTTTTGCCTTTTGGATATGTGCCCTCATTGGCTTATTCCAGAAAAGCTGTCACTATTGGCTTATTTACCACTGCTGTGCACACCTCACTGCTGTCAGATAAGCACAAGCATATTTACATTCCTCAAACCATTAATAAAACATGTACACCTTTAATTGAATCAAAACCTTTAAAATCACCAAACGTTTGTTGTCCCATGACAGCGGCGCGGTGCAGTAAGCTGGTCGTCACAGAGGGTCTGCAGGCTCATTCATTTTCAGCACGATGAATTGTGCATTGGGGTGTTGAGGTCGTACCAAACCCAAAACCAAGGGGGCAATGATTTGATTTTCTGCTCCAGAAACACTTTCTTATTTGGAAGCAGTGCAATGTGCCATGCAGCAGAGGTGCCATCTTTATGTAATTTGGCTTCAAGGAAGGGGCTGCTGACAGTCAGATCTCAGGAGTGGGCCAACAGAGGGCAAGTGCTTATGAAATGTATTTTCTGTGGGGAGACGCTGGGATAGAATTTGCTGGTTTGAATGTTCTTGGCTTTAGTTAAACGGGTTGTGAAAGGAAGGTATGAAACACCCGAGCTTACAGAAGTTATGGCAGCACAGTGAACGAAGCAGCTGCCTTCAATGTGTGTTAACTCTTTTTGCAGAGGAGGACTGGGGGACTTCCCGTCCAAGTCACAAAGCCCCTGTTTTACGGCTGACAAGAGGGGGCTACAGAAAACATCCCTATGGTAGATACTGAAGGTGCTCCAGATATGTGACCTATTTCAAACTTTTTATATATTTTTTAAATTCCTCATAAAATGTTGAAATGTTTCCCTTTTTTGTTTGTCTCCTTTGGATACAAAAAAAAACCCCATTAAGCACAAAATCCTGATATGTAACACATTATTGAAGTATTCAGTTTTTATAAATGCAGAGGTAAAAAAAAGAAGAGACATTCATTCATGTAGGGGAAGGTTGTTTTTAGCTTTTAAATTCATCCCCCCCTCTGCCCTTGCCCCCTCCCAAAAAAAGTAAATACTAATATTTCAGATTTCTGACATTAAACTGCAGAGTAATGTTTGAGATTTTGAGAAATAGTTTCCATTCATTGCCTTTAGTGCAGTTAATAATAGGGTTAACTAGCCAACGCCTGTAATGCCCGGAAAACAATATGTGTGCCTTTTAAGGTGCTCATATTTGTCATATTCATAATTTCTTTGTTCCTATGCGTCAACGCCATTCAACACAGTATTAAAAGGTAGATTAGAATATTGAAAAGTGTGTGAAACATCCCATGTCTATTGTCTTCCACTATGACACACTACAAGGTGCAAAAGTATTTTATCCATGGTAAAGAAAAATTGCGTCCACATCGGCTTAGCTTATTGTGGGTCACTCAAAATGAGCGTAAAGACGGGATGGGTCTGAAAACTAGGAACAGCTGCAAATCCAACGTTACCTCAAATTTAAAATGAGCTTTTTTCAACCTCCGTCCCCTTCCTCCACACTTCACTGATTGGTCTGGCTCTAGGCTCAGTCTGGTTTAAGTGGATCTTTCCCAGACTCATACCCTACAGCTAGGTTCTGACACGCTTCTACCAGACATGTTTCTTCCACAAAATGTGTTAATTGTTTGGCTTGTTTGAAAATAAATCAAAATCAGTTCTGTGGTTAATTTGTCTTTTGAAGCGTCTGCAGATAAAGTGTTTGTCTGCAGACGCTTCACTTCCTGTTTTGATTCCAGCTGTGGCTTTAACTGTTCATATTTCTTATGGTGACAGACAGAGAAACACAAATCGCTCTGAGCCCAAATGACAAATGACAAACTCCATTAAAGGCAACAGATGGAAACCAAACATTGTCCAGAATTGAATACCTGAATGCTAAGTGACTAAATAGCCTGGACTCATAATATAAAATGTTTTTCCGAAATCGAAATCGCACCTCAAGTTTCCCCCTAAGCCTAACTGATAGCGATATGAACCTCAGATGACTTCATGTTAAAACTGAGTTGATACGACTAAAGTTAGCCTTAGTTATATTGTGAATTAAATGATGTGTGAAACCGTAATCGTGAAAGAAAAAAAAATTCGCTTTTTGCTTGAAAGCAAACAGCAATGTACAGTGTGTCATTTCTAATGCGTGCTTTGTTCTGTGTGTAACCTGTATTTGTACATAAAGCATTTAATAAAAACAACATAAACCTCAACGCAGTGTGTAAGACTCTCTAAATAGGAGCTATTAATCGGTATTTTTTGTTAACAATAACATGTGCTTCCAGGTAGCGGCTAACTCGTTTCATAAAGAAAGCCCACCAACCTGTCCCAAACCACTCATTTGTTAAATAATTTATATTCCTGCTCAATCGTCCTTGAATCTTTGATCATTTGGAAACTAATAAACTTCTTTCTTTAATCCATTCTGTGAGGTTTTACATCATTAAAGAGACACAGATTGACTCTGAGAATGATATGGAGTTAAAAGAGGTAAGAAGTCCCCATATATTACTGTCATAATAATACCCACGGCGTTTGAAGCTGCCTCGTGAAGAGCATAATGGGGCCATACAGGAAGTAGATCTTGATGTTCACTCTGATAGTGTGCACTCAGTGTGTCTTTTATCTGCGTCTCATCCTTGTCTCTGCTAACCTCTTTCTGCATTTTGTCATTTAACCTGAGAAAAGCTGTATATATGCACTGTTTATATACAGTTTCCGTGCATCACAGCTGACGTCCATTTTAGACATTTGAATTCTCCTCTGATTAGTACACCTGAAGCCCGACCCACATTAAGAGTGTAGATCACGGGACTGAAAAGAAGACTAAACACTAAGCAGGTAACCCTAATAATAATACTAATATAATCGCAAAATGCTAACTGCCACTTAAAAAAAAGTAAACCTGCCCTTTTTAACGCCAAATAAAATCCCTTCCTATCGCTGACTAAATAGTCCATAAGGAATCTCAGCTAAACTGATTTAAAAGAAAAATAATAAAAGATACTAAAAATAATGTCCGGAAACTAAACATCAGTGAATAAATTCCAAACATTCCAAAACTCATAAAGTTTCAAGATATTCTGAATTGGTTTACTTTTTTCACAGTGATGAAATGGTATAAATGTTCTGTGCTTGTTTTGTTACATATTGCATGAAGTCTGTCACCTATTTATTATTGATGATACATTATAATAATAAAGTAACACGTTCCTTATATTTCTTTGTTTTTCTCTTTAGTTAAAGAAACACACTACTGTGTGATTTGGTCAAAGCAGAGACCACCATTACAGGTGAGTGGAAATATTATTATTATGTTGTTAGTTTGTCACGTTCAATGCAAATTACAACACTTGAAGCGAGGGTTGTTGTAATCATTTAGGTCTAACATTTAAATCTGAAGGTTTAGCTCATTCTGCCTTCATGATGGATTTAATTTACCCACCAATTTGCAAAGACGTTAAATTGTTACTCTGACTAATGGCTTACAGTTTAAAACACACCCAACTTCCTATTGGTTAATGGATAAGTGTTGATTTCGATACTAAATGTTATCTAACAATTGAACTTGTCAATTTTTTGGGATTAAAGGTCCCCTATTATACTGTTTTTCATCAATATATTATAGGTCTCAGATATATACAAAACATGTCTCTGAAGTGTTTGGCTCCAAATACCAAACAGAAAATAAGGTGCCACTCCCCACGCCCCTTTGTGAGATATTTGGTTAAAAAGAACACAATGGCTTCAGGTGATAAGGGGGGGGGGGGGGGGGGGGGTACCTTGGCTGGTGATTGGCTAATGGTTACACAAGCCAAAAAATCGTTATAACATCATAAAGTGGCCACAATCTGATCAGCTCATTTTCTGACAGGTTTTTATATAAATGGATCAGGACAAAAAGAGAGAATCTTTTTTCCTGAAACTTTCAGAATCTCTTTACACAGAGAGGACGCATGTTTATGTATAAAAGACATACAAAAGTGGATTCTGCATAATAGGTGACCTTTAAGAATAATATTTTCTTGCCCTACTGTGCACACTATCAGAGGATTGACATATAATTTCCATCTTACGAATGCACCATTAAAGCTCATTAACATCAACTAAAAATGGTTTAATACGCAGTTTTTATAAATCTGACATCTCATTTAAAACACAATAAAGCGAAGACATGCAATTAAAAGAGTGGAAACAAAAGGAATAAAGGAAAGAAACCCTTACTAAAGTGCAGTGTGATTGGAGGTCATTTATCATCTGCCAGTTGAGGAGCAGAGTATCACAGTAAGGCTGCTTTGAGGAGAAGTGTAGGTTGGGTATGCATTGTACAAACAAAATGTAAAAAAGCAAAGCTGCAGAACTTAAGTAAACAAAAGTAATATTATCACCATACCTACATTTAGTCATTTGTATCTTTTCTTTCTGCTGTTTCTGCATTAAATCCTATTTGTTTATATTTCTCACCCCAACCTGTGTTTTAAAGCTTTGCAAATGCAGCTCCATTTAATCCCCATGGACAGATAGCTGCAGGCCTATTCATAATTCATGCTCTTCTTCTGACATTTCTTCTGAAGGTGCAATTCTTTTGAAAATGTATTCAAAGGCTTACCATCTTAATTGCACACTTTTGCTGTTAATAGTAATACATAAAAAGATGTATGAACAAAGCTGACCCAGAAGAGCAAGTTACAGCACCAATAGTTGTTTGAGTTAGTGTGTGATTTGTAAAGAAAATAGACTTCTCCATTCTCCATTATTACTTTGGGCGGTAAACCGGCTGCTAGCAATAGCCATGCTGCTGAGAATATTATGAGCAAGTAGATCCATCTTGTTTATATGAAAATCAAAACCTGAAAATATGTTATCCCTGTCTCTTTGCGTTGTTTGTTTGGAAACAAATGCAGTGTGGCACGCGAAGTGATCGGACAGCAACACCAACAATAATATCAGTTCAGTCAGACAACTCACGTGTTTCTTTAACATGTTTATTAGAAGCAGTATATAGTTGAGTTTGGCGACTAGGCTCGGACATCATCACTCCACAGATATACATAGCACGATGAGTGATGATTAAATAACTAACCCCCCGAGCCTACAGGTGGATGCTGGGATGGAAGCTGGGGTGGTGGTGGGGCAGGCAAGCAGCAGCAACATGAAACACAGCAGCGGTAGCAATGTGAACGCAATAGCAGGGCACGAACGCAGCAAGCAATGCATGGAGAGAGATCTGGCAGGTTAAATAGAGCGGCATATTAAGGAGACTCTTGGTTGTAGAGTGGCAAGGGGCGTTATGTATGAATGCAGCATAAGTGCTCGAGTTGACTGCCTGAACTAGCTCGCAGGCTTCGCCCCATTTAATAAATACTTGTGAAGAAGTGGAAAAGCTCCTATCTTTCTCCGAATCCATTGAGTCAGTCAATAATAAGTCTCAAAAAGATCTTAAAGTTGTATGTGTCAAAAGACAAACTGTTTGCCCTTTGAAGTTATTGTAAACTTTGAAAACAAATTATATTAATTTCTGCAAAATAATTTAAATTTGTATTATAGGTTTCGGAGGAGCAATATGTTTTTGATAGAATCAAAACTGTAGATTTAATAAAACATTTCATCCAAACGTTTTTAAAATGGGAAAAGCATGCTTATCAACCTATGTTTTCACATATTATGATATGATAAACAACTAGTTGCCTGAAGAGGTTGGTCAAAAAGATATTCGCTGGTTGAGTTTGTTCCACAGTGATGCTGAAATCTGTGCTGAAGTGCTGTTCAGCTGTATTGTAGAAATAATAGACAGTCCAACTCTGCAGTACTAGCACCATTTAAAATCATGCTCCCTTTACCTTTCTGCAAAAAAGCATTTTTCTTACTTTCTACTTCTTTGCAGAGCAGTAGGCTCGGGAATCTGCTCCCAGAGGACTGAAGATTGGACTCAGCCATCAGACACGTTCGGGCCCTTCATCAGTCAGGAGAGGAGCTCGGTGCGTATTTCAACTTTAAAGCTGCCGACTCTTGCTTAGTACCGAGTTTCGAAAAGATTAGTTGTTGAGGTTACATGAAGTATTGCTGTATCAATCTAATGCAAAAGATATTAGAAAATATAAATTACTGTAAACTGACAATGGGCTTTTCATCAAAAATACAAAGCTCAAATTAAACATTCAAGGAATGGATAGTCAGTCAAATGAAGGGATCTTTGTCATTCAAGAATTATTGCCAAGAATAAAATGATGATACAATAATTGAGGAATTGGGAAAAGCTTTAAATATAATCCCCTATTTCAACGTGTTCCCATTCTTTCTTAAAACTAAATCTCGTGTTTATTTGCACCTAAGATTTGGAAGTGATGAGTGCTGGAAACTCAGTGAAAGCCACTGATGTTCATGCAGCCTTTGCCAAAAGTGCTCTCAAAGCCATTTGAGTAACTAGCCTGTTGCCAGCTAAAGAGTCAAAATCCCAAAGCCTTCCACGGAGGTTGATGCGTTTCTTAGTCAATGCCACTGATAAAACGTTCAAATACAGATTACGGATGAAAAAAGAAAAGATCCACTACTTTTTGCTTTGCACAAAGGATGGAGTCTAAGGTGCTTAAAGACTTTGCAGCTGTCTTGCCGTCTCTTAGCCATTACTCCACACATGGATCCACGGTGATTGTTACACATTAGGCAGTCCTGGGCTGCAGCCTCGGGCGCAATAAAAACTGGCAGCTGTTTGTTTTTGTTGATCTGCCAAGTTTATCACCTTTGGCAACAATGTTTATGCAGCCACGACACTCCTAATAGAATACGCATTAGTCCATTTAGTGAATACTCTCTGCTTATGCATCTGTTTATGTGTAAAGAATAAAGATACTACCGTTTGTATTAACTTGTATGTGATGCACAGAGATGAGAGGAATGAAGATGGAACATGAAACAAGGACAGACAAATGACTCGCAGGTAAGGAAGCCGTTGTTAGAATTACAATGCATGCAAATAATATCTGTCCTTGTATTGTATTGGTTTCACATTCTATATTAAGTTGGACTGTTAAATTAAATGTACTTTCCTTTACATTGAAGTCTTTTTCTTGGACTGGTGTTGGTCAAATTGGCCAAAAAACTGAACTTTATACAGAACTATTTGAAATACTCTTCGCTTTTTGCCAAGAGTTAGATGAGAAAATAAATACCACAGGGATCAAAGGGGGATTCATTATTAAGATCAACAAGAAAAGGTCTACATTTTTCCTTAATTGTGGACCTATTCTTTTCCGATACAAAATCATTTTTAACCTAGTGGTGACACTGCCTTGTAATGAGGCAAGAAAAGTGAAAATGTATGTATGAATATGTATGACTGAAAATAAAAGGTAGCACAACTCGATGTGTCTATTCTAACACATTCCAGTCACCATCTGTTTGTGGTGATGGGCTGAGAGAGAGAGAGAGAGAGAGAGAGAGAGAGAGAGAGAGAGAGAGAGAGAGAGAGAGAGAGAGAGAGAGAGAGAGAGAGAGAGAGAGAGAAAGCGCAACACGCTGTACTCGCTAATTCAGTCAATGGCTGTGTGAACAAATATATGACGGCTGCCAGCTCTCATGCTTAGAGCCTTATTTTCTCGAATAATGGAACCGATTTGTTCCTAACAAGACAATAAATGCTCATTCGAAAAGGTTGAGGTGAGAGTGAGGAGGTCTATCTCCTTCCATCTCCATCTCAAGGACGAGCTGATTGTCTCTGGCTGAAAGCTGCATCTCCATACTGAACGTCACCCTGGATGTCAGACGCATGTTGACAGATTATAACTGGGGGCTTCGTACAGAGACAGCCAGTGGACGGAGGGGAATTACTGTACTGCCTTTGATGCACACCCAGCCCAAATGTCAGAATCGGGCTCAGAGGCTCACGCTATATAGGCTACCAACTCCTGCATAACAAGGACACAATGTCATTTGTCAAAACATCCTCAGAATCAATTCAGACAGATGACAACATGCCCGTCAAGCAAATAGTTTTGATTATTATAGACGGAAAGGAGTAGTTTGACATTTTCGACTTATTTGCTTTCTTGCTTTGAGTTAGATGATATGATTGATACCACTCTTGTAACTGACCTTTACATATGAAGCTACTGCCAGGAGACAGTTAGCTTGGCTCAGCATATCGAAATAGTAAGAAGTAGTCAATCTGAAAGCATCCATGAAAACATAAATTGTTGGTTTTAAACTTCTTTTATGTAGGGACTAAACAAATTAGATAAGGAGGCGTTAGTAGGAAGAATTGTGTCCCTTTAGACAGAGCTTTACCTTTTTTCAGTTTGATAATCTTTAGCTGCGCTAAGCTAAGCTAACAGTCTCCCCAAATTAGCAACATATTTAGCATACAGTCATAGAGAATGAATGTATTTATTTTAAATAGAAAGCTACTAAGCCTATTTGCCAAAACAAATGTCTACCCTGGCCCTTCAAATCGTTTAAATATGTGAATGTATTTGTTTATTTCTTTTTTTGCTTTTCAGTATAGAATGTTTTTCTCTTTGTCTTTCTTTTGTGTTGCAGGTTGTTGAGTGTACAAGAAGACAACAATGAGACATTTTTCCTGGTGGACAATAAAAAATGTTTAACTAAAGAATCCAAGTGTTTTTTATGTCCCCTCTGTTCAGTTTTATCGCAACAATATGTTGTATCGTGGCCGGTGATATGGATTAAAGTAAATCCAATTCTAATATTGGAAATTTAGAAGCAAATCTCGACATGACTGCACCTTATTTTAGCCACGTTGTCATCTGGTGGCTGCTGTCATTACGGACCCGTGCAAACCCCGTGTCTGTTCCCAGCTCACTAATAAATGGTTCACTTAGTGCTGCCAACATGAACATGTTAGTTCATTAAGCAAGTCGAGCCCACTGCTGGCGTCCTGGCCAACTGTCACAGCTACTTTACAAGCCCAGCCCGTCAGAATGTCCTCCGGCAGCCAGACACAGCTCACACCTTGTGTCATTTTCCGAGTGGTAGTGGTAATGAATGGCGCTGTCTGCAGCTCTACATATGGTGTGCGGTGATTAACACTTGAGATTGATAGAAGCTATACGCGCATCCCACTGTTCAAATGAATGTTCATGAATATCTTCTCCCTGAATTTGTTTGTTCATGTTGGATTCACAAAACAATAAATCGATGGCCTCGTAAACCGGGCACATCTCAGCGTCTCGCAACATGTTCGACTTGAACAGCTTGCAGGGCTAACGAGTCAGATTTGAAGCAGAAGATAACTCACTGCTTATATTTATGGATGCAAAGGGATTTCATGAGTATGCCCAAATGTATAAACAGACTTATTTCATCAAAACATTCACCCCTGAATCTTGCATTTGTTTTATTCATTTGCTCCATGCAGCCTGTCAGACAGCAGAGCGTTTATCTTCCTCGATATCACTTGATCTAAATATTTGAAACACAAAGACATCAAAGTGGGTCAGGATCTAGGCGAGTACCCAGACATGTTCAATGATGCAAAACAGTGCATGGTAATAACTCTAACACACAGCATTTCCCCCAGCCAGGGACGGGTACCTGAGCAAACTCAGCTCTGTTTAGACAGCTGCTTGATGCGCCAGAATAGAAAATGAGGGTTTATAATCACCATCGTCTAAAAGGCCTCTTCACCAGCGTTGCACACACTGATGAAACGGTGTGCAGAGTCCTTGACGTGTTTTGATGAGTTCTGTGTTGTTCCCCCTTGCCATAGCAGGCTGGGATCTAAGCCAGGTGACAGAAGGTGAGGATGTTCAGCTTGAGCTGCAGTTTTGAAGAAGTTAGTAGACCGACAACTACTGTATATCTCATCTTAGGTCTCATTGCACAAAATCGAGCTCATTAGAGCTATTTTTGGAGAGACGAGTTGTGACATGTTGTGTTGCTTCGTTCGTGTGCCGTGTGGATGAACTAAGCAGCAAGTGAAATGGGCTAACTATGTTCTCTACTGGGAAAATCTGGTACACAAAGCGTCTTCACAACTATTGAGCTGCACGTACAACATTTGTTTCTTCATAACAAAACATGTTTTGGCGGGATGTAGCTTTCCTTGGAGTATTAAGAACATTGAAAAATATACAGCTATTAAAAAAAAACCTGGTCCCCAAGAAAAACAATAGTCCATCCGAAGAGACAAATTTGACAACCAGACACTAGTTGGGTGCAAAATGTAAGTCTCTATAATTGAACAGTAAACCGATTCCTCCGAATAATGTCCTAACCAAACATTGGAGTCTGAATCTCTTTCCATTGAGGATGTTGCCATGCCCAATGCAGATACAAGCTGTTACATGCATCTCCATATTCAGATTATAAAATAGCTATTTATGAATAAACATATGATTTGCTTGGCAACTGAGTCTGTGTAGACCACAAAAGGCAGAAGTAAACAGGATAAGGCGTTAATATGCCACAGTATCCTTGCTAATGATAGTAGACAATCCATAGCTTATGTATATTTCCCAGCAAATCTAAACAGGATCAGACAAATATGTGTACCAGATCTGAACAGGATTAACTGTGATACTATGCTAATATAGTCTGTTAATTTGCCCTCATTTTATACCAAATGTAATTTCTGTAACACTGTGTGAAATATGTATCTAAAATAGATTTACACAAACTCCCTATATTAACTTTGTTTTGAAGGATTCCTTATTTGTCAAATGAAATGAATTCATGTGAACTCAAAAAGCCTCCATTGGAGCAGTGTATGACTCATAACCATTTGTCTAACTGAAGTAGTTTAGTTTGGAGAAACATAAATAAGCACTTGTGCAACAACCTTGTTTTGAACATCTACAGTATGATGAAAGAAGATAATTATTCATTACATCATTCATTTCCGAACTACACTTGATAAAACACAAAATCTCTGGTGTAAAAACCCAAACCTGTTAACCGAGTACAAATCAGACATCTGTTGTTCCATTTTTTCTGCATAATGTTTTAAAATGGTGATTTCTCGATGACAAGAATCAAAATGAACTAAGTTGTTTACTGTTACATTAATCCTCTCATATTCTGAATGCTTTTCTGTTTTATTCTCTACTGTTGGTTACAGCATCAGTGTACATAAATGGATCTGTTTTCATACTGTTCCACAATGTAGACTAAATGTGTGTTATTATTTCAGGTAAGCTAATCAGTCATGGAAATCAGCTTATAAAATACATCCAAGATTGTTGTGAAATAAGACAGCCGTACAGGTATCTCTTTCCTTCTGCTTTACATCCCCCCATGAGTTACAGTGCAAGATGCTATGTCAGATAAATGCCTCCGACAGGCGAGACTGTGATGTTGCTGTCAGGATTCACTGACGTCCCAAATGAACTTTTTTGTTTTGCCTAGATCGGATTTCTTTTCACAGCCGAGGAAATGATGCACAGTTGTTGAATTAGATGTGGATGACAAAAAGACCTACAGAAGCTATTGCTCAGAAGGCAAGGTGATCCATGCAGCCCACGCGCAAACAGCAGTCTATTGATTCCGACGTTGATTGTTAGACAAGGTCAAGTTTGAGTCTTTTTATGCCTGGGTGCTTAAATGAAGAGCATATCACAAAAGTCTGCTTCTATAGGGAACTCTTTGCAAAAGTGGAACTACTTCGACCTGTCACATATCTGCAAAGGACACTCAGTGCTCCTCACAATGACTGACAGTCAACAACTAATGGGCACTTGGTGCTCTCATACTATAGGTAAACTTAATCATCGAATGCTTCAGCTATTTTCAAAAGATTAGATGTGACAACTCACGAATGCCACATTCAATGTGTAAGGGCAAGAGGATGCTAATATTCACTTTGCACCTCACAACGAATGCTTCCACAGTGTTGAGATAAATAAAGTATGGTTAATAAAATAATGTCAAATTGGTCAAGTATAAACATGGTATTATATATTTATGAAGACAAAAAAATAAGGGAGTTAAAAATTAA